AAGACATCCCATACTTTAATGGATACACCACTGAAGCAAACAATGTCAACATTCTCATCAAAATTTATATCTATATTTGTATTATTTCCTGGCATAGTATTTTTGTGCTACACTCCAAGCATATTGTGGCAAAATACACCAACTAATCATGCATTCTAGAATTATGATTTTAATACTCATGAGTAGTGAAAGTGAATGACCAATCAGTGCTTGTTTTACAATGAGGACACTGATCACCTGCTACAACAAATAGATTGATTGGTTCATTGTATTCGAAGGGAGACATGCTGATTGATGCATTTGCGAAATACTACAGAATACAACAATATTGGCGTATTTAACCACAGCTTTCTTGTGGTGATCACAGGATACTGCAAACAAAAATTAAATGAGTCACGAAGATGAGAACTTGTTGAGGACAGCAATTACAAAATGAGCAGACCTTAATTAATTAATTAATGAAAGTGACCTTTAATATGAGCTTTAATTGGCTGTTGAACCATTAAAACTGTAGTAACTGGATAGTAATTCAAAAAGATGCAATTACATCAGATTTTAATCAGACTTCATACATGCAATCACAAGCCATTTTTAAAAATACGTAAATAAGTGAGGTTGTGGAAGAAATGATTGGTGTCTGGATTTTTTTTCTTTAATGTCGAAATGAGTTTGTACTGCATGTTTTTTTTCAATAAAATCACAAGTACAATATTTTTTTTTCATTTCAGTTTCTGCAATTGACCTTCTCAAATGTTACCAATGAGTGGCCGGTACACTGCAATTATGTTGATTCGAGAAATGAACAGTTCAATGCACTCACCTGCAGTAAGGAACATGCTACAGTTTGGAAACATAATTATAGACTCTATTGGTTGGCCATGATCCACAGACAACACGCTGCTCTGTGTTCGGAAATCAAACAATTTCGCAGTATGGTCATATGAACCTGGAATAGACAAATTGACATGATTGTGGCTTTCGATATGGCATCCAGGATCTTGTAGAGCGAGAGACACAATACTGTTATTTTTCAGTCAAATAGTGTTCTGTCAAATTCACTCTTGTCATCACATCAAATACAGTACCTTGGACACATAGATCAGTGTAACAATGAACCTGATTTAGTCAGAGGGGTCTCAGAACCCGCCTATTCACATAGTTCATACCCACCATAGACTCCGGTCAGTCCAAATGACTATTTTGAACTGTAGGCATTAATCTGCGATTCAGCCAATGACGGAGAGAGAAATCTAGGTCAGAGGAAATACCCATGATCTAAAGATTTTCCCCTTACGTCAGGAACCACGTGACAAAGGCAATGAGGCGGTGCCATATTGTCTTCCTCCTCAGTCTGGTTCTTTTTCTTAGCACCAAGGACTAAGCCAAAGCTACGGAAAAAATTGGGTGGTCGGGGGGGACCCGGAGTCTATGGTGGGTATGAACTATGTGAATAGGTGGGTTCTGAGAACTCTCTGCCTAAATTCAATACGTTCAATTACCCACCATAGACTACGGTCAGTCAAAATAACTATTTTGAACTGTAGGCAGAGTCAGACGCCGAAAATGATACCAAACCCAGACCAGGATAATACCCTCTACCTATGACCACGTAGTTGAGACCAGTGAAGAAACGGTGTGTACCAACGCCTTGCGCAACAGCAGTAGCACCACCTGTTTCCACACTCAAATCGCTCAAATCTAGCGAGGCTTTGTTCGTTACGTTTTGTCAGCTTGGGGTAGTTACCGCTTGCCCTTGGCAGAAGTCAAACTGGCTCGTGGGTCTCACCTGTACCAACTGGTAAGTGGGATCCCGAATCACCGAGACTGCTTCTTCCATTCTCAAAAATGAAGAGGGTGGGGGAGGTCCAACCTGCGTAACTGAGCCGGTGGTGCGCACAGTGAAAACACCCAAAACTGCATTCCGCTGTACAAAGACAGCCCCTGCCACGAGAGCCAGATGACACTGCGGGATATCCCGCATAGCCGTGTGGTGTCCCAACAATGGCTGTGTCTGCTGGTCTAGGGGCTGGTGTGTTCCCCTTTGATGCACCAGAGTTCTGGCAGCACAAAACAACGTGTTCCAGTGGGCTGGCTACAACTCAAAGGTTGAGGATTGCCACTCTGCTCTCAGTGCGTGCGTTATTTCTGACTGAACTGTCAAAATATTCCATGAACATGGCCACCCTCTTTGTATGTCCCACCGAACCAACAAATTTGTGGTACCGGGGTCGGGAGAGGAACTAAACGATCCGATGGGTCACGAGTTTTTACTCCAGACTCTGCTGGCTTCGGTCTCAAACACCGCTAGATCGGGTAGCACTTGGTCCAGCGGAAAGGGTTGAGCTTAGAATTACCCTACCTTAAGACTTAGGCCTCTATTCCACGGGGGACCAAGGTCCGCCCATCAACATAGTCTGTGTGTTCCCCACTACGTCCAGCACTCTGCCAGACCAGGATGGTCCTGCAGTCGGTATTGCTTTGGATCCCGCCATCTGGATCCCGGAAGTGACAGTCCTACCGAGAGTGACTGTTTCAGGATCGAGGATGATGGGGTTGAACATCAGGTCATTAGGATTGATGTTCCCCCTTCACCCCAAGGCGTGGCTCACAGAGTCAATACGGAGAACAGACTCCGAGGGGGCCGCCCGTTGTTGCACCAGCCGTGATGGCCGGGCAGGTCCCCTCTGGGAGCGGCTGCGGGTCATCGAATGAGGATTGACCAGTAGTGGGGGCAGGACTCAGGAAATCAAAATTAATCCCTTGTCACTGGGTCCGACAGGCGATCCTTGGCTGGCAGAATGCGGGGTGGAGGGGGGTGTAAAATGTTAATGTACAAATCCCTGTCCTGCTTGGTCCCCTCAAAATCATGCATGCAAATATATCCTGCTGGTGTGCTTCTTCCGGCTCGCCAAAACAAAAGACAACTGCAACATGCTCTCTCTGCATTTGGTCTACCTGACCGCAGAGACGCAATTTGTTCCGGCAGGTTCTCAACCAAAAACAAGTAGGAGGACTTTTTGCTCATGCTACACACCACTCATTCAAGCTCACATTACTGTACTAGCGATTACTACAAACTAGAGCGACGTGGTCAGTCTCGGTAATTTGCAAGCGACCTTGGAAAGCATTCCAGGCCTCGGAACCCCAGTTGTTACAAAAAAAACAATCACTAGGCAAAACCTTGATTCCCGCACACAGTAAATACAAATAGCATTGCTATGTGAGTTGCAAGCTTGATCTTTGGGGTGACAAGAAAAAAAGATGATGAAGAGCCTTGGGCGTGTTACCCTTCTTGCTATGCATTTCTAACAACACATCGGTAAAAATTAAACAAGACATGCATGAGAGGAACTAATTACAGTTAAAAAGCTGACACAAAGGGATCCAACATTGTGGCCAAAATGCGTCAACCAAGTTTTTTCTTTCTTGTAAGGCAATGCCTCATTGCCTCGGTCACGTGGTTTTTGACGTAAGGTGAAAATCTTGAAAATTTCTCTCTCAGTCATTGGCTGAATCACAGATTAATGCCTACAGTTCAAAATAGTAATTTTGACTGACCAGACTATGGTGGGTAATTGAACGTAGTGAATTGACAAGAGAAAATGGAACATTTCTATATTCTTTATTTGAATTCATTAAAAAAATATGTTTCACAAATTTAACAAGTATCATATTTGCTCTATTAGAACACATTTCACACATAAACAAAATTTATGATTTACAAAAATTATAAAATTGTACTGACAAGTGAAAATACCAAAAGACATTCCGTTTAGGTTACTGAATGTAACAAGACATGTCATACTAGTCTTTGTTGTTTGCTGTACTTTACAATATAAAAATAATTTATCTATATTTATTTATTTATACAGCCATCATATTTTAGGGCTAAATTTAGTTCGCAGAAAAACACATTTCTGAAAATGTAATATTTGTATGTATATATATTGTTCAGAAGGAACCAAAGAATGTAAATTTGATACATTAGAAGCAATCATGAGGATGATATTCAACAAAATTCACTGCAACTCCCTAGGACCCTAGAAAAAGTCAGCGACTCCCCAGGACCCCAGAGAAAGTCGCTTTGAACCACTCTTTTAAAGATAACAAATGAAACATTCACTGCTACAAAATTTTGCTATGTAATTTCCATGCCACTACATTAAATTAATCAGTATGCATATTCATATCCAAAATAATTTCCGCTGAATTTCATGGGCTTCAATTTGGTACACAGCCAAACAGAAAAAAAAAAGACCTGCTGGTTTATAAACTCACCTGTTAATAATAAATCATTACTGGTAGAACTAACAATGCCACATCGGATGTAGTCAGTATGTTCCTCAAAATGTGAGATTTCTGTTTCGTTTGGAATATCCCAATATTTGACTGTCTTGTCGTCGCTGCACGAAATAATGTGGACGTTATCTGATGTAAACCTATTAACGTGGACAGGCCTGCAAAATATGACAGAGGCATATGCAGCAATTTATACATATTTCTGTATATCATGAACAAGTTCACAAGTTCATACCAATCAAGCAAGTTCTCAAGAACTGCAATCGCTTGCGGATATGGTGGCATTTTTGAGAATTACAGCCCAAGTCAATTATTAATAAATTCTACAAGAATAAAATTGGAAAAACAAAACAAGGTATTGAAGAAATGCCTAGAAAATTTGAAATGTATAAAAATAGTGTTTTTTGTTTCATTTTTCATGTAATTTTTTTCTTTTTCTATTGTTTATTCAATTTATTTGACATTGCCAACAAAAAAAGCTGTGACATGCAGAACTTTAACTGGTATGTGTGATAATCAGAATTTTTTTTTCAAGGTCGGTAGTGTTTCCATGGTGACTTACCTCTGATGACCAGTGAAAGTTCTGAGAATGGATCGGCTACCAAGATCAAACAATCTGACAAGACCTTCCTCTCCACCAGCAATCAGTAGTTTGCCATCATTTCGGAAACATCCACAATATGCTGTGTCTTTGAATCGAGAGATGGTTTTCACCACTTCATCTGTTTGTGGACTATAAATCTGAACCTGCGAAAACAAAAATATCAGAAAGTATATGTTACCTGAGTTTACAAAATACAGAAAACAAATAAAAAAGTTGTAAATGACGAAACCGGATTGTCATTGTCTGTTGTTAAAAACTACCACAAAATTCTATTACTCGCACAAATTTGTCTCGCTTGAAATGAAAGCAATAGACAAAACAGTATTTGTATTAATTGACAAGCATGTAATCCATTTCTTTTATTGAGGGATACTCTAAATAAAAAAAACAAAAAAAAACAAGTAATGGTTGGAAAATAGTGTGACCTTACCCTGGATGAACTTGTCGCAGCATAATTATGAGGTTCAACAGGTGAGTAGTGTATATTGCTTATAGCACTGTATTCTTTGACTGTAATGGGAAACTTAAAGAAAAACAAAATACTACAGTAAAATTACGCACTTGGCAGACATCAACAGAAATGATAGTCAAAATTAAAATAGTATATGTACACTCAATCTTACAGCATGAGCAAACAAGATTTGCATGGAACTTGGCAAACTCTTTAGGAAAAACCCTATAAACATTACGCCAACAATTTGAAAATATACATCTTTGTGGTTTTGTTGAAATGGAAGGACAATTTTAAAATAAAAAAAAACTTCGCAATAATTAGGACGGAGTGCTTGCCGTGTAACCCCAGTATGTACATTTCTGACAAAAACTACGACACGCGTGACTGTACCCCCCCCCCCAATATATAGTGGTCAACCCCTTATTATGCAAAGTTGACATCAGTGATCTAGGATAACCATGACGTTTTTTTTTATTCTCCAAACTACCCGCGATGACAACACTGCTCAGCAAACAATCACGTTATTGTCGTTACACTGACTTGATCGTGTTCCGAGATTGTGTTATTATCCCTGGTTATGTTGACATCATTCCATTCATACCACGTGCGTACAAGGTTGACAAGGTACACACAATAACTGGGCCCGTTGTTTACTTAATGCAACTGCAAACTCAAATCAGATCAACTTAAAATCAAATACCTCAAGATTTTGCCAGTACGTCTTATCTCGCGAGTATGTTTCTCCGAATTCACTGGGCAAGCGAACGGGTGTTTTCTTGTAGGACGTCGCCATCTTTGAAGCCTCGTTTTCACTCACAAAGGGGGCGCACTTCATTATCACCATACATCAATAAATGCTCCGTGTTAGAAAGGGATCAATATAAGGTCTATGGTAGCTATTAGAAAAGAATACTAGTACATCAAAGTTCTTAAGTAAGTTTAAGAAAAAGTCGGAGTAGCTAGGTGCAAGTTCAAGTATAACTTTCTAGTCGATATTTATCATTATTGATAACACAATCAACTTCAAGATTAAAATGTGTTTACATTTGCAATGATCGGAGCAGCTACAACCGAACCATAGACTGTACCGTCAAGCTTAGATATTGAAAACAGAAAAAAATACGCAATATAGTCTGCGTTTAATAACAATATATTACAAATTTCAAATTACGTAAAATATTAGATCCATTTTCTCATTACAATCAAATATCACTAAGATTAATTGCATGGCGTCAAATTCAAAATAATACAAAAAGTTAAACATTATAATTATAATTATAACTAATCTAATAAGATTTTATGTGTTCGGATATTTCAAGGGAATAATATAAATTTGTTCTATTCATTTACACGTGGATCTTATGACATGCGACCCAAGTGTGTACATAAGTGTACATTCTGTTGTACTAAAAAGAAACATCTGTATAATACACGAACTGCCCGCCGTATTAACTCTGACCACTTCTTTCTTTGGCCTGAGGTGAGTTTGTGCGCCCTCGACGACATGTTTTGCCTGAACTAGTCTACCGATAAAGCCGACAATTTCTCTCCTCAAAACAATTTATTAAATCCTCTTTAGACTTTGTTGACCAAATATAACTATGGAATACTAGTAGATGAAGTGCAGCGTTTCTTATTTGACGTTATTTCCAATCATTTTGAGATGCGTAGAACGACTGACGTAACATTTTAATTGACGTATACCATCTCCCAGTCAGTCGAGTGCTGGTATCCAAAACTAAGTTCTGATCAAGAATGTTTGACAGCATTGTAATCATTGCAGAATCATTGCGTTTTGAGTCACACCATAATTGCCGTGGTGTCAGTTGGTTCTATAATTGTGAGAAACATGAGAACGGAAGTGGTACCTTTGTCTGAAATATGAAGATTGCGGATGTAGTTCGGAGACTACTCTCAAATACTTTATTTTAGCTGGAATTAATTTTCGCTGAATGGATTTTTGGGTGTTTTGTATGGAATTTATTTTCACTGATTTTTGACGAGTTGAATGTAAAATATAAGAAAAAAGGTATATTCGCTGGATTTTATTTTCTCTGAATCATTCCTTCAGCGAAAATAGCGAAAATTAATTCCAAGCGAAAATAAAGTATTTTACCGTATTTCTCCGATTGTATATGTATATCCAAATGCCTTAATTTAAACCATTTGGGCACTATCGTTTTGCTGCAAAACAATTTATATTTTTTTCTTAATAATTTCTTTGGTATAATTACCTCTTTGCTACATGTCCAGATCTTCTTTTTTTTGAAAAGAAATATGGAAAACATCATGTGGGTTTATTTTGTGAAAGGTGACACGAGTGTGTACAAAGGTCAAACCATTCACGTGGAGTTCAATATTCTTTGTGAGAACTTTAATCGAAGTTACTTTTTTGGATTGCAATCAAAAACTATAAAACCACCGGTTTGTTTTAAAATTCATTTTTTTAATGGAGTGACATGTCAATCGTAGACATATTTCTGGTACATCATCAGTAGAAATCTTCATTATTTTCTTTAGATCTTCCATTGTATGTGTCCGCTATCATATACTCACATTGGATACGATCTGCATGAGACGAACATCGGTCACTTGCTATCTCGAACTAAAACTCCGGGGATCATAGAAGTGTTAAACATCCCATAACATTTACTTGCCAAGTATGTGATGATATTTATGTGGTTTAATTGCTGTAGAAGGTGTAAGTATTCGAGTTTAAAAACGTGTGTTAAACAGTGCAAACATTTGGTAAAGCACGTCTATTCATACACTTTATTTATCAGCAGCTTTCAGCTTTTCGGTTCTTCGGACAATTTTGCGAATTTTGCTTCAAAACTACGTTTTTTTTCTTTGATATACAATGTAAATTACAATGAACCGTTTTCTACCAGTATTAACAATTGTTACGATTTGGAAGACGCTTTTCTTAAATTAGACTTTCAAGTTGAGCATTATATTTAAATAATTCGCTACGAATTAGGATTCATTTCACCCATGCTCCGTGAAAAGAATACTGTTGAACTCTGTGTATTGAATAAGCCTGAGTACCTCTATCATAGAGGGACTGTGGAATAAGTAAAGACACTGTTACCCAACATAAGTGACGCAAACACACCGGACACTCGAGTCAGTCCCTCTACTGTAACACACTCCGACAACAACAGTAATAAATATGCAGTGGTACTGTAAACCTCATTATTATTCACAACTAATATTCAATTTGATTATTTTAATTCTAAGTCATATTTTTACTTTTTTAATTCAACACATTTTCCAGTGAATAGTAAAGTTCGCGTGGTTTAGTTAATTAATTAATTAATTAATTTAATTTTACTTACAATCATCGAAAATGTCGTTATTAAAAGACAGTGAATAATGAATGCGTTTACAGTATTCTTGTAGTTCGGTACATGTACATGTATCTCAACTTTTTTAATACGATCTTTTAACGAGTTAATTTAAATTACATGTAAAAACGGAAATTTAACACTTTAGCGCCAAACACTGCGTACTGGGTGTCAATCCGCCACTAACAATAGTTGGCTTTTTAACCCCAGAGCACATCAAATAGCCGATCGGGTTTGTTTGGTAGGTTGAATACGTAATGAAGTCATGCTCAATAACGGCACTGACAATGCTTTTGTCACGGTCGACAACTAGCCATGCTTTCATTTACATATATAATTGCCCAACAATCCCTGGATGGGTAACATTGGCAGACGCCCCGCCCCTACTCTATTAATTCCCTCAAAAGTGCATCTTGGGAAAACAAATGCAATTATAAATTTCGTCTGAATACTACGCATTGAAGAGAGATCTGGCATTTACACGTGTGAATTTAATGTTGCGTATGAAAATATTGTCGATGAAAGCATGATGACGACCAAACCGGTAAGAATTTGACCCATTCGGTGAGACTAGATATATTTGTGACACTAATAGTTAAACTTTTACAATGAATAGCAATGATCGGCGCTGTGTCGATTTCATACAGCGCGGCGTCCTGTGAATCAAAGCGTGTGTCTGATTAACTTAGTACGCATGCACCACAATTTCACTGTCGCGTTTTAAGGTAGGTTCTTCGATTCAATCAGCGCATTTGGCGAGAATTTTCGCCGTCATGCAGTGCATATGTGCCCCGTTTAACTGTCGGGGCAATACTACCCACTTGTATGTCATGTTTTGATACATTCGGTTAGTGTCTGTTATAAAGTCCGGGCTGGCCCGCTGTGTAGTAGCGGATGCAAGATTGGCTGTTGACATTTGCTTGTACCTTGTCACAATACAGCTGACATTTGCCACTAAAACTCAACTGGGCAGCCAGTTATGTCAATGTGACCATTCTTGTCAGTTTTCTGGTAGCCTGAGATCTTCGTCATTGGTCTTTGGAATGTAGAGAAAGGTAGTAATTGGCAGAAGTGTTGAAATGTCAGTGTTGGTCGTATAAAAGGCCAGTGTAAATGTAGCGTTTGTTTTCATAGGGCCAAGAAAGCCATTTTGAAAGCAACATTCGGAGAATGGGTCGTAGACATGGTTGGGGACGTATACTATTACATTCCGTGCAGTTTTGTCAGGATTTAATTTCAATTCATTATGAACTAAATCAGAGAGTGTATATAAACCCCGGTCTGGTGAACTGATATAGACCACCCCGGACGGCGCGCCAAGTTTCATATCAGCCTAGTGAAAAGCCACACTTCGATTAACTTTTTTGTGTGCGTTTGATTTCTGATTCAGGACACTGTTCGTGCGTATGATTTAATATCAGGACTGAAGTTCTATGGTAGTGTTGACAGTTTCTCCCATTCTGCTGAACTTTCTAGACCGGGTCGAATCGAAGCCCTAAAGGTGCAGTTCGGTGAGGAGCAGGTCATGGATTCGTTGTGTGAAAGATCGAGAGAGAGTAGCCGCGTTGACATGGAGCGGGAAGAGGGACATCAGACAATCTCACACCCAGACGTGACCACCGGTGACAAGCATGAGAACGCAGAGAGAAACGTTGTTGTTGAGAGGAACGGGGACCACAGCCCGGTCGATTTGAGACCTCAAATAACAGTGAAAACTGAGTCACGTATGTCGCCCATGGGTATACAGCGAAAATACCAACACAGAATTAATGCGGACGATCATGAGCTGGAGGGAGAGGACAGAGAATTGTCACCCGATATACGCTATCAACAGCACCCCCCGCACACACCGACGGAGAAAACATCACCGCCGCCCAATTCGCAAGAATGGACGTTCGAAGAACAGTTCAAACAGGTGAGGCGTATTTTCACTTTTAATTACAAAATGTTTGACGAGTTTAGAACAGCAGCGTAGCTACGATTCTGAAACCAAGTATGTCAAGCTTCACCTTATTTGCAGACATTGCCGTGCGAAGAGGTCAAAAGATCAAAATACAACTGGGCAATTTTAATGTCCCTTTCAATCTCACTAAGAAAAGTGGGCAGCTAGACGGACATAAAACACCCATTGAAGAAATAATTTAAGGCCATAAAGCACAGATGGTAACTTTTAATAGAATATAAATTTCAATAAGACATTCATTCAGATCCAGCGAAGGAAACTTTCCCCGTTCAATTTTTAATTTGCATTTTGTTAAGAAGAACAACTTACTTGTAAGGTGATATTGCTGTTCATTTTTGTTGACTTTTCAAACAGAAATACCTTTTGAGTAGTGAGCCATATTAAATAGTACCCATTCAATTAAGCATACTGCTTTAGCTTTGGTAGACATCGGGGAAAACATAGCACAGCCTGGCTTTGTTAAATGTTATAAAAAAAAGAAGAAAAAAAACTTTCTAACCTTTGGAATTTTGTAATAACTTTTTTTCACTTGAAAAGAGATAAACTTCATGATAATAAGCAAAAATTTATGGAGAGAAAGTGGCAAACAAAGTAACCTAGTGACTCTAATTGAAGTTTACATTTTGGCTTTACATTATTATCACCATTAAATCAGACCATTATATTCTGGAGCTCCTACCAATAAAACACTATAGAAAGTTCTGCTGTTATAATCTTCAATCTAAATGAAGTTCAAGGCAATAGAACATACTGAATACCTCCTCAAAAACTCTCGTTATTTCTACTAACTTCATAGTATCTATCTTTCTTTTCATTCCTCTTTTTATATGTCGCGTTTAATTAATTATTCTCAATAGAACGCAAAT